TTTTTTTCAGGTGGGAAATGTGAAAATTAGACTATCTGTAACAGTTAATATATAAGGCTTTACAAATTTATTTATCCTAAGTATGGGGGAGCTGGGGGGGAGTATGGCGGGGCTGAATGGGTGTGGTAGGGCGGAGGGGGGAAGCGGGGGGAGCTAGCAATACCGTAGAATTATTTAAAAAATGCAAGAAAATGAAAGAAAAACTACCTTTTTTTATTGGGCGCGGTGGGGTGGTGGTGGGGGGAAGCAAAACCTAGCTCTAACTCTTACGACTGTATAATTTAGGAAGATATCTATATTTATAGGACTGCTGCTGATATGTCAGTCGCCAACAGTGTCTTCTCACTTCCTCGAAGCTAACTAGGGAGACGTACATTGGGTCGAGGGACAGTGTGGATAGGGTCACGTGGTGCTGATTGTTTTCGCCATTTTCAGCACTTCTTACTATTTTCAAGTGTATATAGATATACAGTTATGTGCCTCAGTCATTGCAGGGCCTCTTCTATACTTGCAGTGCCCCTACGCACTTGCGCAGTGCAGCGAAAGTGCGATTGTAGATTCGCATTGTAGAGTGGTGTAATGTGAAATGTTATTTACCATTTTAAATCGACCGCCACTGTCATCTGCTATAAATGGCGGCTATCCGCTGTACTGTCCCTTGATCCACTGTAGTGAGACGTGACTGCTAGTGCCGAAGAACCTCTACAAAAATAAATTAACTGGCTAAAGTTAAAACTAAAAGCTGTCCTATTGAATTACATGAAAACCTATCTTACGAGTGTAACCTTGAATAGTTCCTTCTGTCTCTCTCTCTGGCTGTATGCTTATATCTCTATAGGATATATGTCAGAAACCGAATGCAGACTTGTAAAGTTGGCACCCATAAATATTAAATATTAATATTTTGCACCTATTCAGGGCTTAAACGATTCCTCTTTACTTGCGGATTTATCCTCTACTTGAATTTTTATTTGCGGATCAATAGTTTGCGAGATATTTGCAAAATAAAAAGTCGAAAATGGGCGCGGCGCTGAAGTATTAAAAACTTCGTTTTAAGTGCTAAATTGGGTTAAAATCCAATTCTACCTGTACGATTCGATTCCTCTTCATTTGCGGATTACGGAGGTATATAAATTAATGTAATTAAATGTCACAAAGTTTGTAAATGATGAATTTAATTATTGAGTGAGAGAATCTAGTAACTTTTGTCTAGTGACTTTTGGTCCAGTGCTCCGTTCCTGTTGTTCGGTACATGTCGCTTACTCCTTACAGCGGGTTCTACAAAATATTTATCGGAATAGAAAACTTTAGTAGGTATTAATCTATTAATTATCAGTTATAAGCTATTCAGCCTTCGGGTCAATACACACACACACATACATTACATACTTTAAGCTCAAGGAATAATTTATTTGTCAATAGGTACAGACTTTTCATCTTAAGAATCTAATATCTAGAATCTGTTGTGGCAAATACTGTGGACTGATATTTATTAATTACGCGCGAAATTTTAATGTTTGTTGTTATTCAAGAAACAAATAACAACACAACTAAAAAGTAGCAGCACAGCTATAATCATCCCAAGACAAGCCACAGCTAAGCACAACAGTAATAATTTTGTTTAGACAAGTTTTAGAAAACGGCTCAAGCATTCAAATTTCGCGCGTAAATGATCAATCAGGCAAATTGAAGATCAAGTTACCGACCGGTGGAAACGGATCAAAGTGACACAGGCTGTGTTCGCCTAAGTCTTTGTTTGTTATTAGGTTTGTTAAGGTCACGTGATCATTTATTATAAGTGCGAGGGAGACAACATGATATCAACGTCTCACTCGCACTAATCATAAATAATCACGTGACCTTAACATACTACAAACGGAGCCTATGCAAACACAGCCCTAGTAATAAATTAACAAGTACTTAATTTTAAAAAATGTTTATTAAATGGGTTTACACTAGATTGCATAGTCATCAAAAAATGTGTGTGTGTGTGTATTGACCTGAAGGCTGAATAACTTATAACTGATAATTAATAGATTAATAGCTACTAAAGTTTTCTATTCCGTTAAATATTTTGTAGAACCCGCTGTAAGGAGTAAGCGACATGAATCGAACAACAGGAACGGAGCACTGGACCAAAAGTCACTAGACAAAAGTTACTAGATTCTCTCACTCAATAATTAAATTCATCATTTACAAACTTTGTGACATTTAATTACATTAATTTATATACCTCCGTAATCCGCAAATGAGGAGGAATCGAATCGTACAGGTAGAATTGGATTTTAACCCAATTTAGCACTTAAAACAAAGTTTTTTATACTTCAGCGCCGCACCCATTTTCGACTTTTTATTCTGCAAATATCTCGCAAACTATTGATCCGCAAATAAAAATTTAAGTGGAGGATAAATCCGCAAGTAGGAAGGAATCGTTTAAGCCCTGAATGGGTGCAAAATATTAATATTTAATATTTACGGGCGCCAACTTCACAAGTCTACCGAAGACCACATGCCAAATCTTATAGACACATCAGAAATATTGACTGCTCGTTCTTAAGTTGGTTAGAGTAATGATGCGTAATTATAGCATTAGCAAAATAACCGGATGACACTTAATAACATTGCAGTACAAGCGATTTCCAACCTTTTGTTTATTAAAACTAATGCTCTCCATTTATCGGGAATCGAGATTTGAGGCGACAAAAAAAATTTTTTTTTGTTTGTTAACCAAACCAAACTATGGTTAGTCAAAATTTTACACCTAATGTATATCACACAATTTTTCCCAGTCAAAATGTACTGGCTGATTTAAAACACAGAATTATTAAAAAAAAATTTTTTTTTTTTTATTTTTTTTCAAATAATCCTTTTTTTTTAATCAGCCACAACATTTCGGCTGGCAAAAGTTATGTAACATAGATTAGGTGTAATTTTTTTTGTTAATTGCGGTTTGGTTTGGTTAACAAGCAAAAAAAAAATTTTTTTGTATTGTCCTATATCTCGATTCTCGATGAATGGGGAGCATTAGTTTTAACGGACGAATGGTAGGAAATCGCTTGTCTTGCAAACTGCAACGTTACAAAGTGTCAAGTAATTCGGTTATTTTGCTGATGCTATAATTACGCATCATTGCTCTAACCAACTTAAGAACGAGCAGTCGATATTTGTCTTTTTTTTACATCGCTAAAGGTGGGAATGTACGAGAGAGACAAATACCCACGTTCGATGTTGTGTCTCCTTATACTTGTGCTTTAGTGCCGTACATAAGAACGAGCAGTCTTTATTTTTTATATGCCTATGCCACAACTTGTGATCTGTAAATTCTGTATTATGATTACATCTTACATCATGGCATGCTCCTTAGAGAATATATACAAGGAGGAAGCATTGTATGCTCCAACCGCGTGACGAGATGAGAGAGACAAAAGACAAATAGCAGTACAACCTTTCTCTCTCTTACACGCCTCTGATTGGTTGACCCCCTTCCGTATATATAGGTATAGTCGTATCCACGAGTGGCGGTCGTGGGGGAACAGAGCAGATATATGTAACTTAAGCTCTGATGAAAAAGAACTTATACATTACCAGAGAATATGGAATATATCCTCTTTAAGTATAGAAGGCCAAAGCGGAATTCCGAGCAATACACACTAAAACAATAATCTTCCATTACAACATAATTAAAAAAACAAAATTTGAATAAAAATTTCCAATTTTAATTAAAGCCCTCATACCTAGTTAAACAGTTCATGTATGGCTAATGACTCAATTAGAATGTTTGTCATCGATAGCTGAGCGGTCAAGAATGCTCGATTAGCTTTTGCGCTCTGGGCTTCGAATCTGACCTATGCTTTTTTTTTTTTTTTTTTTTTTTTTTTTTTTTTTTTTTTTTTTTTTT